ATTTCTTTAACTTATATCGAAAGATTAGCTCGATATATATATATATATATATATATATATATATATATATATATATATATATATATATATATATATATATATATATCATTCCTTCGTTCAAATAACCTTAATTCGAGATTCATCATATGCTTTCGTCAGATTTTTCCAACATTCCCCTTTATTCAAAACCATCGCTTATTATATTTTTTTATATTTCCAATCTCCCCACGGTTAGTCAAATTCTCTGATTTATTCAAGATCCGAGGGTAGAGACATTTCTTTCAAATGTTAAAATTACTTTCAATATACTAACATGGAAGCCATAGCCGTTGGAGTGACAAACACACACTCACACACTCACACACACATATATATATATATTTATTATTAATATATATATATGCATTATTAATATATATATTTATTATATTTATATTAATAATGTATATATTTATTATTAATGCATGCATATATATTATATAATTTTATATATATATATATATATATATATATATATATATATATATATATATATATATATATATATATATATATATATATATATATATATATATAATGTATATGTAATATATAATTAATAATATGCATATATATAACATACAGGGTGGATGGATAAATTGTATTCATTTTATATTATTCATTTCGCGCATGCGCGTTCTTTGCTTTTGATTTTGTCGATTGCACATTATCACAGGTTTAGGTGGGCATCGTCTGTGAGAAAAAGAACACTATGACGCAATTCACTCCCTAAGAAATTTGTAAATGGCATGTTGCACTGTTTGGCATTCGCGCCAGGTGCACATTTCAAAGTGTTATGGTGCCAATCTGAGGAGAGCGCTAAGGATTCAAAAAGAGATAGATCAAGTTTAATGGTGATTACGAAGGTACGTCAGCTCGGAAAACTCTCTTTGATTGTTCTGATATGAAAAGAATTCCCGAATTTGTTAGAGGGGGCTTCAGACTCAGCACAGGCCTACATCAAGTGACTTTACGAGTGCAACTTTGGGTCAAGAGAGTGGCTACTGGAATAGCCTATGTTTAGCAACAGGACTCATGCGACCACATCACCCCTTACATCTAGCTGCCTAAGTCCCCAGACTACAACCCTATTGACAGGACACAGTTGATCGAGAGACCATCAAAAAATCTCATGACATCAAAGATGAAATGAAGGCAAGGATTATAACTGCATTCACCTACTTAAACAAGGAAGCTGTCAAGAGTCGCAGGAAATTCCGAAGTCGACTATTTATATCCGTCAATAATGTTCATGCAGTTGTCGCTCTACAAACGATTCTCCATCTTCAAATTTGATTTTCTTGTCGAAAAGCAATCGGGTGGGACTTTTCTGTTTTCTTTGCCTGTCTCGCCATAGGTCAACTTCATGTTGTTCTTCATGTCTTCATTTTCCTGCTTGGGTGCTGAGCATCGTTACGACCATGTTTTATGGAAAATTTTGAATGCTACTCCGGGAATTGTTGTCAGTTGTAAAAATAAGTCAATCACTCTTCGCCTGAAATTACTTTACCATTTAAAACAAGGAGCAAAAAAAAAAAAAAGTGGAGGTCACTTATCATAACAGCTGGAGGTAAAGTTTTTCCAAAGAAAAATTATATTTTTTTCGTCATCTCGGATTTCCTTTTACACCTTTTCTTCTTCGTTTTCGTTTTGTGTTTCTTTTTGACCCGTCGCCTTTTTATTTGCTTTTTTTTCTCTCTCTGTTCCATTTAGAACTCTCGTTCTTTCTTTTAAAATAGCCTCTTCCCGGGTTCGCCAATTATTTTCATGTTATTTTTATCCTTCTCCAGATGTCCAAAGTCTATATTCCTTCCTTCTTTTTCTTTCCTTCTTTTTCATGATCAGAATCTTTAAAAAAAATGTCTTATTCCCAACCCCGGCCAATCGTTTTTCTTCCATCCCCATCAACGCCAACCTTATCTTGTTACTGGCATTTTACTTATTAGCAATGTTTTACTATTTTTTAATTACTTTTACCGCAACGCTCAGATCGTTTTTACATTCTTCGACCGTTAATTAAGCAGCAGGGATCAAATTTGGATTCATTATCCGTATCATTTGGAGCCTGTCTATCATGGACAACGCCATACCGTTTAGGCTAAGGAGATGAACCGGCACAGTTCATTTAATCATATAGCTGGTCCATTTCTTATCCGATTCTTTCTATGCTGTTTCGCTGCACTTAATATTGAAACAGATACTACACTTTGCCTTGTTCAATTTAATTCGTGAATCATTGCTGTTGTGAATTTTTTTCTTGTTATTCATTCCATCTCATTTTTTTTTTTTTCTTTTACATCGCAACCAAACAATTTTATAAGGTGAAAATCGAATTTCGAAAAGTAAATCTATATGACTAAATTTGAACGTCTACTTTCGGCCTTATGCAGCCCAATCGGTTGCGCAATATCTAAAACAGAAATGATTCCGAGGATACTGGATGTGATTTTAATTTAATACATGAATCATTGTCATTAAAAAAATGTCTGTTTGTTGTAGCATGCCTACGGATGATAATGGGTATTTCCCCATTCACATAAACACAGTAGTAAATACTGTATGATGGTCTGCAGTTAGAAATTCGTCTCCAGCTGTGCTGGTCAAACTCTCTGCCTCCGGGCAGAGAGGATCCCCAGATGAGGGTAGAATCTCGTCTCAGGAAACAGCTACCCGGCCCGTTTTATACGTGGTCTACGGGGGAATTTTGGCCGATTCTACGGGCTTGGATACCCCACATTAAATTCGGCTTTGTGCCACATCTAACGGTTGGTAGATATCCATCAGTTATTGTGGAATTCTCTTGACTCACTTCTAGCAGATGACTTCTTCTACGCGTCGCTGGCGAATCTTGTTGTTCTTGTCCTAAGTATTATTGTTCAATACCAGCCTTCGTTTGATTATTCTATTTAGTAACCATCCCTAGGTTACAACACTATTATTTTCATTTTATTGATTGTATTGTGTAATAATTCATGTGGTGGAAATTGAATGAGGAACAGTAAATCTATATGACTACATTTGAACGTTGCCTACGCATTACCTTCCGTAACCCAATTGGTAAGGTATTATCACAGGTAGAGAGGCTTCTAAGAACACTAGATGCGAATTCCATACATGAGGTGAACAGCAATCATATCTTGGTTGAAAAACGGAAAGATTCAAATATAGCGTTTCTTGGACAGAACACATGGCTCTCCAGGTTAAAGCGAAGACGATGTTCTTCAACTTGAAGGCTTCTCATGGTCAGGGACATGTGTCCATTAATTGCATGAGATGATCTTTCCATCTTTCTGCTCAGCGATGTCGTCATTATAATGGATGATTGCATAACTATGAGACCCAGTCTACCATATTGCGCTAGATGGCCTTTGACAAGTTTTGTTTTTAAATTATGTTGCGTGTCTGGCCACACTCCTCGCCAAGAATGACTGGTGGGGGAAACGGTTTAGTAACCGATGACCCCACTATTATGCAGGTAGTACTGGCTTACATTTTATCGGTAGCAATCATAGAGTGACATAACATTAAATATTGTTTAGACATTCTTGATTTGTCGTTATCGCTTTCAGATTTTTCTTTATTTAGGTCGACTGATGTTCATATCTATCTGACTTTTCAGACATTTCTTGCGTGAAGTAATTTTTGAGAATGATGAATCCCATACACATATTACGACCAACTTTATTATTTTCTCTTTGTCATATTAATTCTTCTTCTTCTTTTCCTTCTTCTTCTTTTCCTTCTTCTTCTTCTTCTTCTTCTTCTTCTTCTTCTTTGTGCCGTGCCCATTCAGGACGTTGCTGATCATGACACTTCACAAATCCCTGTCCTTTTTAGATCGTAGTAATGTTTCTTCTATCTCTCCTAATCCCTGTTTTGCTATCCATTTGCACAAGGTTAGGCGGTTCTTTCTTTTGTTCCTTTTGTTTTCAATATGTCCTGGGAGTGTCAAATTCTTCAAGCCCTCTTTCCTCATTATGTGACCTAGAAATATCAGCTGTCTTTTTCTGATGTTATTTATAATTGTATTTTTGTTTCTATGTTCTATAAAATGTTGCCCACGTGATCAGTGTATAGTATCCTCAGTATTCTTCTGTAGAACCACATTTCTGTTGCTTCAAGTTTCTTTTTCATCTGGGAGGAGATTGTCTAGCATTCACTGCCATAAAGAAGAACTGATATTACATAACAGTTCAATACTATTTTCTTTGTTTCTAATGGTATTTTCCTGTTTCTTAATACTTTGCTTAACTTTTGGAAGGCATTTTACGCTATCCCTTAGAATTTTGATGTCACACTTTCCGTCCTCTGATAAAACACTTGTTTGATATTTAAAAATTTATATTTGCTGGATTTTGGCATCACCAATTTATAATTTACATGTTGTGCTGTTCCTTTTACTAAAGCATATTTGTTGTCTTCTTGTAATTAACCTTTCGTCTTTTCTTCTCGCTTTCCTTTAATTCCTTCTGAAGAAGTTTTTGTAGTTTCTTTTCTGTGTCTGCTATCAACAGAATGTCATAATAATTGGATTCCTATAGACTTAACATAAGCGACATCAGATAATTATGACATTAAGAATATGTCTGAAATATTTAATTTTCTTCATAAATTACGTTCTTTTTTTACCTACCCTTTTTATTCTGACAAATACTGCACGTATCATAATGTTTAAACCTAGAGAGGGTTACTGTATGATTAATAACCAAAACGGAGGTTAGAAATAAAATGGTAATCTTTATAACATCAACAAAATACAATACTCGCCAGCGTCGTGAAGTAGGTAAACCACTTCTAGTGTTGGACTACTTAGATAGCATATTACCCCTCACTTACAATAATGTCCAACGTATTTATGAGGATTGGGACTTACCCATTAATGTTCGTAGGTACGGTATATAACGCATATCAAAGATATTTTCCAAACTTAAAGTTAACATGAACTTCAACTTTCCGTCCCCTTAAAAAATTGTTATGAAACCGGAAATAGATTCTATCGAACTGAAAACAAATAATAATAATAAGAAGAAGAAGATTAAGAAGAAGAAGAAGAAGAAGAAGAAGAAGAAGAAAAAAAAAGAAGAAGAAGAAGAAGAAGAAGAAGAAGAAGAAGAAGAAGAAGAAACTATTCAGGGTCAATACTCTACACGTACCAAACAAGCTGATATAGACAAACCCCATATGCATTCTTGCTGAACAGGACCAATGCTTGCTAACAAGAAATTACCAAGCACACAAGAGGAAAAATTGTGTTAATCCGAAATGCAGATTCTGTGATAAATATCCAGAAACAATTAACCATCTTGTATCAGGTTACACACTGCTGGTAGCCAATGAATATAAAACTTAGCATGTCAGAGTGGGCCAATATCTGCACTGGAAAATATGCAATTTTTACGGGAAGGAAACTGCCAGAAACTAGTATGAATATCAACCAGACCCGCTTACAGAGCATAGGACCTGTAAAAATTTTATAGGACTTTACAATATACACAGACAGAACAATCAAATTTAATCGGCCAGACATTGGAATCAAAGGCCACAAGAACAGAATGTACTTTCTTATTGAAATGGCAGTCCTTGCAGAGTGTAATGTATCTTTGAAGATATTCAAAAAACTATTAAAATACAAGGATCTTAAAATGAAAATCTCTAATATGTCGCACATCAGGAGATCAGTCCTTCTAGGTGTAGTTGGAGCCCTCGTGTTGTTTGGAAAATATTCCGATAGACCCATAGAAGGGATTCCTGGTAGCCCATGCCTTAAAAAATGCAAAAAATGTGCTCACAAGTAGAGCTCACACATACGAAGATCTTTATCTATGTGAAATCTGTGTGATCTTACGGGTTTTTTTGGTTTTGATTTTTTTTCTTACAAAAATGATCAGTCGAAAATGTCATTAAGTCATTTCTGACCTTAGGTCCCTAGTTGGGATCCGAAAAGAAATAAAATAGAAATCTAAGGAAATAATAATAATAATAATAATAATATTAATAATAATAATAATAATAATAATAATAATGAATGCCCTGATGCTACACCATGGCGCTCATGGCTTTTGATCTTAATTGGCGATTTTAATATTTACGTTCTTTGCGTTCGTAATTTAATACTGACAGCATTGATCATACAGTACCACATATTTCCTTATCGGTTTCCCGATCTTATCTAGTTAGGCGTGTCTCCTGGCTCTGAGGCTAATTTGTGTCTTTCGTCAACTGTCCTGAGGAAGAAGCTACCTGAGTGGGTCCTCTTCTTTACTAATGGAATATGAAGGGAATGATGATGATTTGACGCTGTGTAAGTGATATAGCCGCTCTTAGCTGTGAAAGTCTGAATTGGAAGAGCTAAGAAATGTAGCTTCTCTGAACATTTGCCATGAACATAACGATAAAATAGTGAGAGTCTAACAACGATTCGTCATTAAAAAGTGTCTCATCACACACAAGGCCGCGTCTGAATGACAAATCATATTATGTATTCAGACGCGGCCTTCTTGGTATAGCTTACAACCATATCAGATTGAAACACCGAGTTCCGTATGATCACCGAAGTTAACCAACGTCGAGCTTGGTCAGTACTGAAATGTGTGACCGCTTGTGAATACTGGTGCTGTAAACTTGAATGTACGGGTAGTGTAATTGATGTAATGACTCCGAGTTCCATTTCCATTTCGGTTTGTTATATTCACTTACGCGCAAATACACTTGGGAAAGTTATGAAACCACATCTTCTCCCCCAGGTATGGGTTAATTAGTAAGACTTGTATCACTAAATCATTATTACATTAAAAAAATATTACAATCTAAAAATATTTTCTGGGTATCAATTTTCTGGGTATGTAAAGGGTTGATAAACAATAAATAAAACACTAGTATTAGCTCAGGATGAATCCTCAGTTGTACCTTCCTTCTTTTTCGAGATTTTGTTTTCGTACTTGATGACCTTCTTGAAATTTCGAAACAAAGATTTTATTCAGCTGAAACGATGTGAGTATGACAAATAAGATGAGAATTCAGCTCTGAATAGCAAAGCATATAATAAAGGTAATTCCTGATATAAAAAAAAATCCGATACCCTATTTGAAAAGAAGAATCACGGGGGTAATGTAGCTTCCCTGTGCCATTTCTATAAATAAATTCATGGAAATTATTCTTACTTCGCCTTTGGTACTTCAACTTCAAGAATTTAAACGCAGTGCTTCATTGGAAGCGAAATTTTATGATTTTCGTGTTGAAAGTGCAAATTGTAAGCCTAAGTTTCTATGCCAATATTTTTTTCTCTCACACTTCTCGCCTTACCGGTTTTTTTTTTTTCCTATCAATTACGATGTTTAAAAATGTAAATGCAATGCCAATCGTCATCATCTGTCTTCTTCAATCCTGTACTTTTATTTTACTTTCTTCTCAATAGTGTTTCATAAGATTATTTCATTCGCAGCAAACCCTTGCATCCTAGTGGCTTTATCGCCTTGCTTTAGGTGAAATGGTTAAAAATATCAAGTCCGGAAAATATGATTTATATTCTCTTATTAAATTATTTATTTTTTTGTTATTCTGGTGCTTATCACTGGGGATGTGTAGGTGGTGTAAAAAGTCATCAGCTCGGAAAAAGTAAACAGATGAGTCGTTATATTCGATTATAAGCAAATATCCTTGGGAAATTTATGAAGCCATCTCTTCTCTACCCAGCTATGGGTTAAATAGTACGACATACCTGGAAAAATTACTGTTATCTCAAAAAAATTGTTAATACAATATCCACTTGCAAAATATTTTTATCTTTTAATCCAACGTATGTTTCGCTTTTCAACTCTCCATCAAAGGGTTGATAAGTCGTAAAAAAGAAGAAAAGAAAAATCAGTGGTTCATTTATTTTTGTTCGACATATTCTTTTTATAAATTTAAAATAAAAGGTGTTTTTTATTGATTTCAAAAAATTTTTTTTTTAAATTTATTATTGAGATTGTTGATTCTCTTTCAAACTTTCAGTTCGTTTTTTTCCTATTTTCTACTTCTGCAAGGACCTCTTTTTTTAATTTAATTTTCTCTTTTTTCCCTGTCTTCTGTTGTCTTCAGTGGATTCACTCACCTCCTCATAACATTAAAAAAATAAATAAAAATAAATTTGCCATTAGAATTTGGAGCTCGTTAATCTTAACCTTAAGCCTGGAATTTTCTACGGGCACCAAGATCGCACGAATCTCAAAGGAAACTTCCAAATGAATACTTCCGGATTTCAAAAGTATTATTATCGACAAGCCAACACTTTCTTCTTCCGATTTTTGTCGTGAAATTTTAGACATTGTTTGTTTTTGTTTGTTTTTTTTTTTGTTTGTTTTTTTGTTTCTTCTTTTTTTATTAGCAAAGATAGCGGACAAAACATTCAAAGTGTTTTTCTTTTAAACAGGTCAGATGAAAAAATGTAGGAGAAAGAAGAAAACACAAAAGAAAAGAAAAGGAAGAATAGAAATGAAAAGAGAAGGTAGAAGTGCATGGTGGGTAAACGAAAATAAGAAAAGAAGAAAGGAAAAAGAGAGAGAGGAAAAAAGAAGGAATCACCAAATATAGGGGAAAAAGAGAAACAAAAAAACGAAAGGAAAAGACAAGGAAGCAGTAAATGTTGAAACAAAAAAGGGACAGAAAGAACAGTGAGCAAAAAAGAAAAGAAAAAAAAGGAAAAGCGAGACAAGCAGTAAATGATGTAAAAACAGAAAAGAAAAGAAAGGCAAGAGAAAAAAGTAGAAGGAAACAGTAAATGATGGGGGGGGTGGAAAGTAAAGTAGATAAAGAGAAAGGAAAAGAAAAAGAATTAATAGGAAAAAAAGAAAAGAAAAAAGGAAAAGAGAAAAAGCGGTAAATAATGAAAAAAAGGGAAGAAATGAAAGAAAAAGTGATGAAAAAAGGGTGATAGGAAATATAGCTGTATATGATGAGAAAAAAAGTGAGAAAAAAAAAAGAGAGAGACCAGGAAGTTGTAAATGATGGAAAAATCAGGAGAAAAAAATGAAGATAAAGAAAAAAGAAAGAAGGTGGTAAAAATAACGCGAACAATAAAAAGAGAAAGTGTATGAATGAAGGAATAACGGAAAGAGAAAAAGAAATATAGACAGGTAAGGAAGTTATTAAAGAGCTAACCCGGATATAAGAGACCCGGATATAAGAGAGATTTTCTCTGGTCCCAAATGAGAGCCCATACTTACCTAAACAAAATAGACCAAACCCGGATATAAGAGAAACCCGGATATAAGAGACTTTTTCTCCGGTCCCGACAACTCTCTTATATCCGGGTTACACTGTATTAGAAAAATCGGAAATGATAAAGAAAAGGAGAAAATGAGTGAAAATAGAATCAAATTTTCCCATCAAAAAAGAAAGAAAATAAAAAAACAGGAAACAAAAGAGATCACCGAAACGAAAAAAAAAAAAGCGAAAAGAATAAAGAAATTAAAACTCGAAGTAAAAGAAGCGAAAATATCCGAGAGAAAGACGAGAAAAAAGCTGTCTATGCTTCAGGACCAATTATATTTCATCTTCTTTTAAATCTTTCGCGTTCTTTCTGGAAATTTATTTAGGCAGAGTTTAGTGAAACGGTTTCGTCTAATGTGTTTTCCAATCGTAAAGTGATATTCTGATCGAGACAGGGGCTTTCCACTATCGGTAAACAAATCTTTAGACGATTTCCCTCCGGACGTACGGACTCTTTACCCTTTGCTGCGTCCTACACATGTCAGTCAAGGACCGGCGGCCACACTATCCAAATGTTGTGCTTGACTTCCGGTTAAAGGTGAAATTCAAACCTCAGAGGCAGGAAAACAGAGAGAATATCATTAGAGAGAGAAAAAACGAAGTAAACAGAAACGAAAATAAAATAGAAAAACAATAACAACAAGCGTTAAATAGATTCTTTTTTATAGTTTAAGCAGTCCGAATTTGAGAATAAAATAGCAAGACTCTTTCGTCTGGAAGTCTGACAAATAAAGGAAGCGTACGGATATCAGCGTCAGATATTGAATAGTTATAAAGTTCTTATGAATTTCGAGTGTTAAGAATAAAAATGCATTCGAAATTCTCAAGTTATTTGATTGAATGTTGCGAAGAGAAAAACTATATTTATTAGCAACTTTGATAATTTTCTTATCATCCGTTGCTTGGATTTATATTCGATAATGGCTGAAAGTACTATGTCAAAACTAAACAAAAAAATTCCTGTTTAATATTTACTATTTTTCTCTGTTGGTTGCATATTTTGCAAAACGGTGTTCCATTTAAGTGCGTTGAAATTGCTTCTTAAAATATTTTTTTATATATTATAAAAAGCAATTTTAATGCAGAAAATTTTAATGCATTTTAATGCAGAAATTTTTAATGCATTTTAATGCAGAAAATTTTAATGTATTTTATTGCAGAAAATTTTTGTGAAATTTAGTGCCAACTCATAAATTGTATTACATAAATCTAAATCGGAACTTTTTGCGAAATTTAGTGCCAACTCATAAAACACACACACACACACACACACACACACACATATATATATATATATATATATATATGTGTGTGTGTGTGCGTCGGTGTGTACGTATTAGTATTTATGATTCTGTGAGTGTGTGTGTGTGTGGGTGTGCGGTTAACTCTACTCAAACGCTGCTTATTTTGTTAAAATGAGCACTGTTTGTATCGAAACAATATTAGTGAAGATCTGGCTGGCAATTTATTCCATGATAAAAAAAACTGGAGTCACTCGAGTCGACAAAACCGCTAGAAGGCATATACAATCTGGGCTGCATTTGGTGCACACCTGCTGGCGCATATATGCGTTTAAGGCTTAGAATCAGTAGAAAAAAGGGCTAGTGAATAGAAAGTTTAGAATAGAATCCTATGTCTAACAGTGTTAGATTTTAACATGGAGTCTTTTGAATATGAGCTATTAGGCTATCATGCTGCAGGCGAGATCTTTTTCTCTTCATCCCTTTTGGTCAAATCGTCCTTGGTACGACGATAAACTGCATCCGCGTCCTGAGTAAGACGATAAACTACGTCCAACAGCAAGGCCTCTCTTCAAGAGGTTTTGAGGAGCGTGGAACCACCTTTTAATAACTGGTGTTCCCAGGTCCACCATGACCCAGGGTGGTAGCATCTGTTAGGGTCCCAGCTATGGGCAAATAGTTAACCCCGAAACTGAGGTAAAAAGCATTATAATAGTGTAAAAATAGGTTTTAATAGCAGAAATACTTTGTAAAAAACTATTACCAAAAAATAATATTACCAGCTATACGTTTTCAAGGAAAAATAATATTACCAGCTATACGTTTTCAAGGAAAAATATTAACAGTAATAGATTTTTGACAAAACAAAAATACTATCAAGGGAAAAAAGTTGTCGGCATTAAATGACCCATTGAGGTTGATATGCCGTAAAACAAAACAAATCAAACCAAACCAAACCCTATTGCTCAAAATATTTGCAACTTCTGATGGATCAGTTTTAAAATGATCTGAATAAATTACAAGAGGTTGTAAGTCAAACTATAATAGATTTTTCCGCCATGATTCACAAACACTTAGGATGTTTTTTTGTGAGGGTGGAGATGAATATTTACTTTTCGGTGGTGCAAATTTGTCGACTGAATCACTCTCACGATTCTGAGAAATAGGCAGAAAGAATTTTTCGTCAAACAGCTAGCACACCAGATTAAGAAAACTTCTATTTTTAAAACGAACAAATAAATTACAAAAAATGGCAAAGCATTCAAGAAGCTGATCGTCAGTATCGACTACTGCCTGTTTTCCCAATGCCGATTCGTGGCAGATGTCTTCTTGTATAAAATGACATCGTAAAGCCGACCACGTCTCTGCTCTCAAAATCTGAGAGGTTTTTGTTTTTCTTTCTGGATGGGATGAAGATAATCAGAAACGAATTTCAGGAAGCAAATACACACGGTCCGTCCCGAAGTTGATGTTTTCCTTCACAGTCGATGTTGAAGATAAATTCTACAACTCAATGTTTGATGTTAAAACCTTTGGGGCATAATGACATGAAAATTATGTTTTTCATGGCTCCTTCAATAAAATAAAAAAATTCAGTAAAAAATAAAAATAAAAGTAATGAAATTTTTTTTTTTTTAAATCCGAAAGAGAATTAAAGCCTTAAAATAATATCTATGTATATGACTCAACTGGAACGACGTAAAACGGCCATATTTGGCGTTTCCGTATAAGGAAACATTTGGTATTCTTTGACTGATCAGCCATTGTTACTTATGGCTGAAATTTATAAATCTTTCTACTAAAACAATATTTAAAAAAAATTAGGTTTCTCAAATCACGGACTGTTATCGATCTTTCTTTGATGAGGGTTTCCTTCCGAATCTTTTGTTTGAAGTAGTGTGGAACTTCAACACTTTGATTATGTCATTATTTTCTCTTCGAGTACATGTACAGTGTAACCCGGATATAAGAGACCCGAATATAAGAGAAACCCGGATATAAGAGAGATTTTCTCTGGTCCCAAATTAGAGCCTGTGTTAATGTATATAAAATAGACCAAATCCGGATATAAGAGAAACCCGGATATAAGAGACTTCGTCTCCGGTCTCGACAACTCTCTTACATCCGGGTTACACTGTACTATCAATTTTACTTCTTTCTTTTGTTGAAAGTCTTCAAGTGATATGGTTTCTGTCATTTGGTGCTGTTCTTTACGTGTGATTCTGTAGCGAGGTTCGATACGGATGGTCCTTGCTAATGTCTACAGGTTTTATTCGGTCGATGTTATCTTTACCCATTGATCTGAGGAAGCGGTTGTTTGCAGCCGACATTTTAGATATTTCTGAATGGGTTTGACGCCATGCATGTCACCGATATGAAAGTTTCGATCTTACGAGGCTATTTAAGAATATGACACGAGTTTTATATTTAATGATTTGGTTTTTATTTGCGGTGTTGGACAAAACCAATCCGAGCATAAACTATTCTTTGTCCAGTTTCCTTATCTCCCACTAAATCTGTTATAAATTATCCATACATCGAGGTATTTGAAGTATTTAGCATGCACTAATTGACATCCTCAGGTGCCATCATGGCTTTCATTCCAATTCCAAATAGATTCTGAAAGTTTCGAAAGTTTTATCTTGATTCTTGTTTCTTGACACATATGGTAGACGATCATTCTTATCCCGGCTATGAATCTGTCAGAAGCGTAGCTTCCCTCCCCATCGAACTCGGGAAGGGAAGTAAAAATGCTTTATTCTATTCATAGATCCGTTTTGGCATATCATGTTGAATTCTTAAATGATCAGTGCACATCTCTTCACTTCCGTGCATTTATATTCGCAGAACATAGTCTAGGAAGAGAATAAATAGATTGGGAAACTCATTTCCTCCTTCTACTCCTGATGAGCGTTGAAATGTTTCTTTATTGGGGTCCTCGCCAGGCAGGTACGATGTTGTGGCCTGATATAGTTTATCTCTAACAGATCTAGACATTCAGTGAACTCAATGATTAAAACGTGATTTCTAACGAACGAAAAGAGGAAGTATCTTTTATTGTAGCCATATGCCGCTGTGATGTCAACATAGCAGGTATCAAATTTTCTATTGAAGAGGCATGCAGTTTTCTAGTTTATAAAATGTTCATTATTACATCCACGGATGGATCCAATTTGAGATCCCTGTGTATTTTTAAAGGTGTTAGAGACTATCTTTTTGTTTCCATAGAGCATCAATGCGTTATATACCACACTTTTGGGGATGCCTTTTTAATTCCAAATTTCCTTCATGACATTGAGAAACTGCTGAGAAATGATGCTTTATAATTCTTTAGCTTTTTTATGACATTCTTGACTCCATTATCGGTAGATTTATTATTGTTTACATTTGGAAAAAAGCTTATGAACTGATGCATAGCGGTGTATGTTCTGTTTTCGTGGACAACTTCGGCTTAGAGTGATCAGGGTTGAAATGTGAGTGAAAGTGTTTGTTGAGGCCTGTACATTTCTTCTGTGGTGGCTTCAGTTGCATGAAGTTATCTTGATGTTTCACTTTTATCCACATTGCAACACGTTTTCTCTGCTGTTTCGCTTCCATAATTTGGTTTCCGATTTTATGAAGTTATTGGTTTCTCAGAGCATTA